ACATGTATACCCACCCCCAACACAAATGCAAACAAATGAAGACACAAAAATTAATAAATAAAAGGGAATTTAAAGAGGCCATGCTCTTGTTAGATGGCTGCTATATGACTGTATCCCAGAGTTTCAATAGGCACTTCTTAGGCCACAGGGAGAAACAAGGGAAGACTGCCTTCTGGGCAACAATCGTTCAGTTTTTGTAAGTTTCACAAGTTAGACCAATCATGAAACAGACGCAGAGAGAAAATGAGGGGAAGGAGGAGGGAGGGAAAAGGGAAAGCGAGAAAGAGGAGAGGAGAGGAAGGAGGAGAGAGGAGAGGGGACTGGTGGGGAGGAGAGGCCTCTACCAGTCTGGTTCTGCTAGGGGCAGCAGCACACGGAAGTGCTTCTCTGTCAACATGTGATGCAAACCAGGCACAAAACCTCTTTCTGCTATTTGCTTTCATTGAGCAAGATTAAATTGCAGCGGAGCAAACAATTGGCTTATCACATCTGTCCTTTTTTCCCTCTCCTTATGAAGGAAGTTAAGAAAGGGCTGATGGCCTTGATGTTTGCTACACTTTCTCATCAGTTCTCATCTCCAGTTAACTTGTGGCCTTATGCCTGGTAAACGCCTGACAAGATCAGAGGACTAGAAAGATGACCATAGAAGCCCAGGAACAGCTGCTAACACAAAGGGAGAATGTTGAACCAACTCAAGCAGATGTTGCAGTGACTGGAGGTCATGAGAGACACCGGTACAGAAGTGCTTGTTTGGAGGTCGGTAGTGGAAAATGTGTGACAGGAGCAGAAAAACTGCGCTGTGCAAGGAAGTCCATCTGGGACAGTGGTTTTAAGTCTATGATGTGGTTCTGTGGGAGAGATTACTGGCAGCTCCATAAATAACAAAAATAGGTGTAGCAAGTTAAGAATCACAGAGGTCCTACCTATGAAAACATAATTGTCTTTATTTCTCTATAACTGCTTATGCATTTCTCTATAATTTGCTTATGAATTCTTATTCTATCTGGTGACAAAAAAAATTACTGATGTAAGGGTGTTTCAGGTTTATTGATTCAAGAGTCAGCATTTTTGGGGGGGGTGATGACACATCCTATTCAGAATTCTCTCCCCTTTTTTGTTCTAACTGGAAGTCTTTGGGGGTAGTGGGGGTGAAGGAAACTGGAGTGATTAAGGGTTGTCCTGGTCCCTGGGGAGGGATTCTAGTCCACAAGTCATCCTGTGCTCTTACAAACTTCAACTGAGCTCATGCTTGTCCATCCAGCCTCAATTGTAAGGTCTGCCCCCTCTTATCCCTCTGGGAAGGTCTGGAGACTCCTGGATGCTTTATTGAACTTTGTTAGGCAGCCTGTCTATAGGTCTAGGCTGCCCTGCTGCCAGGGCTGGTCCTTGGCTGAGTCCAAGGACTGCATGGGCTGAGTCCATGCCCATGCAGGACAAGGTTTTGCTATGACACCCAGAGCTATCATCAGTGTGCAACAGCAACAGAGTTAGTGGTGTGTCTTACGCTGATGTATATGAACACGTTCCATGCATTTGTGTGGTCTGAAAGCTAAGCATGGTGCTGTGTGGGTGACAGTATCTATTTTACATAGACTCCGAGCCAGGGGATGAAGTGGAGGGATGCACAATCGAGTTACCTAGAGAAAGGAAGCAGAGAGAAGAAGTCAGGGAAAGTGCTCAGCATGACTGAGGGAAGGAGGAGGTGAAATCAAGGTGCTAGGTGGACCTTTAAAACCTTAAGGTGAGCAGAGGATATCTTCAAATCCTGTCATTTGGAACGTGCATTTGAGAGTCCCATCTGTGTGTAAAGGCCCATGTGTCTAGCAGGATACTTAGGGTACAAGTAGTGGGAAAGGGTCAGTACGTAAAAAAGAGAAAAGCCCTGCAGCATGCGTCTGTAGTCCCTGCTACTTGAAAGGCTTAGGACACCCTGGGCAACATAATAAGACTCTGTCTCAAGTGGGAAGAGAAGTGTAATTTTTATTTTTACATAATTGCTCTAATCGATTTTGTTACTCATAAATTGCTTAAAAAATTTCAGTATATAAATTTTAGGGTGAGTTTATGTTAGCCATCATTAAGACTTCCAGATTGATTGATTGATTCTTCCTTTTTCTTTCTTTCTTTCTTTCCTTCTTTCTTTCTTTCTTTCTTTCTTTCTTTCTTTCTTTCTTTCTTTCTTTCTCTCTCTCTTTCTCTCTCTCTCCTTCCTTCCTTCCTTCTTTCCTTTCTTCCTTCTTTCCTTCCATTTATTTCTTTATTTCACTTCTGGAAGTAGGGATGGAACCCAGGGCATGCTAGGCAAATGCTGTACCACTGAGGTACATCCCTAGCCCCTTTCAGGTTGATTCTCTAACATCAAGCCAGACCCATTTGTTTCAACTTTCATTAAACTGTTGCTTGTAATAGAATGACTGTATGATCCTTCTTTCCCTTTCCTGGGTGTATATCTGAAAGACTCTAAGTCAGCATATAGATACCTGCATGCAAATGTTTATTGCTGCACTGTTCTTTTTTAAATATTTTACTTTTTTTAATGTGTATTGCCTGCCTGTGTGTAAGTGCACCCATGTCATGCAATGCCCACAGAGGTCAGAAGAGGGCATTGGATCCCCTGGAATTGGAGTTAAGATGATTGTTAGCAGTCATGTGGGTGCTGGGAATCAAACCTGGGTCGTCTGCAAGAGCAGTGAGTATGCTTAACAGCTGAGCCAACTCTGTATCTCCTGATGCACTGTTCTTAACAGTCAAATCATGGAATCAGCCCAGGTGCCCTTCAATGAATGAATGAATGAATGAATGAATGAATGAATGAATGAACAAAGAAAATGTAGCATAAACACAAAATTGAGAGTTATTTAGCCATAAAGAATGAAATTATGCCTTTTAGGAAACTGGATGGAATTGGTAATAATTACTTTAAGCAAAGTAAACTGGACACAAGAGGACAAATATAATGTTTCCTCTCATATGGAAAATGTTAAAAGAAATACAAAGGATGAAGTAGAAGGGAAATTAGGGAGATAAGAAAGTGTAATGAGTAGATATAATCAAATTGTGTTATGCATATGTGAATTTGACATAATTACTCTATAATTACTGTGTGGTCTAGCTTGTTTTCTGTTGTGATAAATAAACACCTTGACCAAAACCAGCCTGGGGAGGAAATGGTTTATTTGGTTTACACTTCCAGGTCACAATCCATTGAGAGAAGTCAGAACAGGAACTCAAGCAGGAGCTGAAGGAGAATCCATGTAGGAATGCTTCTTCCGGGGCCACTCACTGGTTCATTGGCTCATGTTCAAGCTAGCTTTCTTATACAGTGGGGCTCACCCGCCTAAGCATGGTGCTGCCCACAGTGGGCTGGGACCTCCCATATCAATCATCAATCAAGACAGACATGGCCACAGGCCAATCTGATTGAAGCAGTTCTTCAACGGAAGTTCTGTCTCCCCAGGTGACTCTGGGTTATGTCAAGTTGACAGTGAAAACTAACCAGAACTGTGTATAGTTAATAGAAAAGAAAACAGGGGGTTGGGAAACATGGTACACAACTATTGAAACAACCCTGAGGGAGAGAACTCAGTGTGCCTCCATCATGGTGGGAACTGAAGGGAACCCTTGCTCATAATTCTGGCTGTACAACAGAATCATCTAGAAGCTTTAAAAACACTGACCTTGGGCTTAAGTGATTCTGACAAGACCTACCAGGCCATGAAGAGTCAAATCTCCCTGTGATTGTGACTGTAGTCAAAGCTGAGATCCATCTCTATGTGAAGGAATAGTGACCCACCTGACAGTTAATGAATTTGCATAATACCACGCCCCTGCCAGACTTAATTAAGCCTGCGTATCTGAGGAAAAGGAGTGGTCCAAACCTCTGGAAACAGATAAATGAAAATCTACCACCATGCTGGGTCACAGACAACATTTATGATAAGCTGTTGCTGGCCATTCTTTTATCAGTTCCTCCATTCCAAAATTGCCCTTAGCTGCTGATGCCCAGGTTATCTCAACCCTCAGAGGGTTGCATATGGGGATGTGGCAGGGAATCCAGAGCCTGTCTGGCCTGGAAGGGATGCAGGAAGGGGTGGTGTGCTATGGAAGGAAGAAGCAAGCAGCAGCAGCAGCAGCAAGCAGCAGTCTCATTGCAAGATGGCCTATTATGACCCAGAAAGAAACTGGGGCGCATGGTCTGGAAGGCTAAGAGTTTCAAGTCCTGGAGGCCTAGGCTGCTGTTGGGGCCATAGAATCCTCCTCTCTCTCACACAGCCCCAGGTGTAACCCTCCCAGACCCTGGTTATTTAGTTGGTTACTCTTGCATTTTTCTGGGCGTGGATTTTCATTGGTGTAGTGAGCCAATGGAAGAAAGTGGATTTTTAGGTTAAAAGAGTACTTCCTCTGGCTTTGAGACAGTAAGGCAGGGAAGCAGCTAAGACGCAAAACAGTAACAACACAGAGAACAGGTAACGCCTGTGCTATATAAAGCCTGTGCTTGGCATTGTTTTATACGTAGCAGCGCATTTACTCTCCCAGTTCCTTCCACGAGACGATACTGTTATGAACTTTTATCATAAAAGAGGAAATCGGGACATCAAAAGGTTAGTGACTTCTATTGCACAAGCCGTTTGGAGAGACCCGGCGCCCAGCTCTAGTCTGTGCTGGGCACAGAAAGATTACTGTTTGCCTGGGGAGCTGATGCCGGTGGGTCGCCAGCTCAGTTCTTACTGGGTGGCCCATTAGGGTTCCAAAAGAGAGGTGAGTTGTCTCAACTATAATGGGGCTACCGCGCCTGTCCGTAGTAGCCGGCCAGTGGTTTGGGAACGCGTGGCAGTCCTCTGAGTCTCCAGCACGGCGGATTCCCGGACAGGGCGGTGGGGACCCTGGGATACAAGTCAGGGGCTCGGGAACTTGGGATGCCTGGCAGAGACAAGGCTGGCCCGCCTCTCCAGCTCCGGGGCGGGGCCTAGGCATCGCTGGCGTCCGGCCTGGCGCAGCCTGCAGTCTCCGCCTGCCAACGCCTCAGCCGGCCGGGCTGAGACTAAAACCCACGCCTGTAGCTCCGGCGGCCGCAGCGGGTGCTCCGAGTCTGGAGCGGCCTGGGCGCCTCTGCGCAGGCGGGACAAGCCGGAGCCCGGCCGGGCACAGGCTGCGTGGAGCCCGCCTGCCCCGCGCCCCCTGGAGCGGCAGGAATGTGACCTAGGAGCGCCAGTGCCCTGGAGCACCCCTCGCGTGGCTCCCAGGGCTCTGGCTAAGCCCGGTTAGGCTAAGAGGATTCGATTCTGAGCTGCGATCCCTGCACACCCCACTGGGGCACCCGGGCACACCCAGGTAGGAGAGAACGTCAGAGTTCTGGGGATGGGGCGGCCAGGTGGATAGTGGCCTTGACCCTGGCAAGGGTTCTTCCTAAGTTACACTTGGATATCAGCGTGTCACCATTCGCTGTAGGATGAAGGTAGTAGTAGTTCAATCTATCTCCCTCTCTCCCTGTCTCTCCCCATCTCTCTCCCCCTCCCTCTCCCCCTCCCTCTCCCCCTCCCTCTCCCCTCCTGTATTCATGAACTCATATAGCTGAGGATACCTTGAACTCCTGACCCTCTTGCCTCTGGCTCTTGAGAATGCTCGGATTCCAGGTGTGCTCCATTCTTCTCCTGTGCTCCTTTAAAAGTGTGGGTGTGGTGTGTGCACCTGCCAGCTGCCTATTCTGTCTCTCTCTCTCTCTCTTCCTCCCTCCCTCTCTCTCTCTCTCTCCTCTCCACCTTCCAAAACAGGAGTAAAGGTTATTTAAACTCTTCTGGGAGCTTGCCTGACTTTCTTCGGGTTTGTTCTAGGTAGGTGTGTCTCCCCGTGTAAATTGCTCCCAGGCATTGAGATCTGGCCAAGTTCAGCAGGTTCAGGAGTGTCCTTTAAAGGGGTTTAGGCTCAGAAAAGAGGCCTTAACAAGGTAAGGGGTGAATGTCCTTAATTCTCAGGGTGAGATGTCTCCCCTCTCCAGAAGGGCTGATGCTGGGAACTGTAGCTACACCTGAGTAGAAAGCAAAAGGACACATTGTTACAAGCGTACCCAGCACTTGGCAGTTTATAAAGCCCTTTATTCCTACTGCATGGTGGCCTCCCAGCAGTCCTGTGAGTGAGGTGCCATGATCACTCTGGTTTTATCGCTGCTTAGCTGGGAGTCTGACTTGGAAGACAGACACTCTTTGGGCTTCAAACCCAAGACTAAAGCCTTGCAGAGGGAAAGGAGAGGGAGAGAGGTTGTTGAGGATGGCAGGTAGACTCCCTTTCCTGCCAGGGCCAGCACTCTACAGCGTTCGAGATAGTCATCAGATGGACAAATTCCATAATTTTGGTCCCACATCCTAGGGACTGAGTCTCAGGATTCCATCACTTGGGTCACTGATGCTGTGGAGAAAAGGGAGCTGAGGTTCATTTATCACTGTAGGTGGTACCTGGGTCACACTGGCTTAATGCCAATCTTCTGGGAAGTGGTTTTACTCCATGGAACTCCGTGACGATTAGATAAGCAAGTCAGAGTGGTGCTGGGGACATTTGCTACCTCTTCCCCCACTTAACTTATAAAGCAGGTGGCATCTTTTTCTTCCGTAATCTCTTTTCTCAATATCCTATATAGTATTTTATTAATATTTTGGATTCACATCCTAAACTCTTGCTAGGTGAAACATGATGCCTTTGAGATGGATAGAGGAAAGGACTTTGATACTGATTTATTTTCCCTGTCTGGGCTGTATGCCTTTCTTGTGCAAAGAGCAGACTTACTGGTGGGTGTGCCCTGGGGTGGCTATTGTGAAGTTCAATAGAGGACAGTGAATCTGAATTTTGGCAGGGTAGGACTCAACTTCCCATTTCTCACAGGCTCAGCAGAGCCCTTTGTGTTGTAATGCAGCATCAGGTGCTCTTTATCCTGTGGCAGCACACAATGTCTTCTGAGTAAATCCTTCATCCTGATGAAACACACTTCATATTAGCTTCACTCATTCATCAAACAAATATTTATCGAATGCCTACCATGTGTCAGGCACTGTAACAAGTACTAGAGAAAAATAAATGGGATAAGTGAAGATGCTTATCTTCTCATGTGTTTATATCCTCTTCCCAAATTACAGGTATTAGAAGGCTCTTTTCATGAGGTAGTACTTTGAAATCTGACTCTGCATAGAGAATGGGTCTGGGAAGCCTGGAGGTCATCTTCAAAATCTCCAGTGGAGGACATAGAGGCAATGCTCATAAATGAAGCTCTGTGGTTCCCTAAAGAATAGCAGAGGTGCAGGATATACTCCAAGGGTTGGTTGTGCATGAGGACCAGGACAGACTGAAAACCCGTGGGTGAGAGGTATCCACAGAGGAACGTCTGTCCACCTGCAATCAGACTCTGCAGAAGGAACATCTCGATAGTGAGCAGGGCATCATGGGACCATTGGAGTGGGACAGCCATAGCAAAAGGTATGAGAAAGAACACGGATCCTAAGGTTTTTATGCTGCATGGTGGACCCATTATGAACCCGCAGCTTCAAAGGAGAGAAGGTATCAGGGGCATTGACTCCTTGGCCATGACCTAACCCATCTGCTACTATAAGCAGGTGCTTGGTTTGTGTTTTCCTCTCTCTGTGGTTGTTAGGTGGCTGGTGGTATAAGAGGGGAATCTGCAGTAGTGGCAGCTTTACTTTCCCCTGCCTGCCTGCTGTTGGCCTCAGGAAATGCTGCAGACTCCTGCCACATTTGTATAGGAGAGGGAGCAGAGGGACCCTGCCAACCAGTACTGTCACCAAGTGATGAAAGTTGCTGAGAACTTTCAAGGTCCCTGGTCACCAGCACACCTTTGAGTCAATGCTGTCTTCTCGTGTGTGTCCTTTGGCACACATGCGGCAGAGTCATTAAGATATTTTTCTATCCCACCTGCTTTGAAAGAATTTATAAGACGTATAAGGAGGGGAGAAAAGCAAGGGTGGAGGAGTAGAGTCTGCAATGGCTAGAAATGTATAAAATGACCTGGATGTCTGCAAACTTGCCTACAATGGGCTGCAAATGCCAAGCAAGCCAGTTTGCAGCCCTCCCTGCACCTTGGCATTGTCAGATACCCTTTGAGAAGTGCAGGACAGGTACTGAGCAGACACGGTTACATTTGGGGTGCATTGGGCACTGGGAGTTTTTAAAGCCCTCTTATGTGTTGACAGGGCAGTTGGGGGAATGAGCCTGGGAGGCCCCAGCTGTCAGTGTCTTCAAGATAAAAGTGAAATGCTTAGAGAAATAAAAGCATTCTTAGTGCAAAATCAGGTCGAAACTTTCTTCTGGTTTTCATTAAAGAGCTGGGAAGAGCAAGGTTTAGGTGTCTTGAAATTACCTATATCAGAAGTTCAGGTTGCTAACCACAGTGCAGCCTGGTGTTAATAGGTTTTGAAGAGTCTGGCTCTGCACATCTGCTACCTTGGTGTGAGAACTCAGGACACTTGAAAGCACAGTGATAATTCCTGACCAAGAGCTAAGTGAAAAGGTGGATGCTGTCACTTTCAATCATGGCTTCTTACCTCATTAATTATATAGCACCTCTTTTATATGCAAATATTCTAAACAACCTGTTTGCAATTCCAAAATGATATATAAAATTTCTGCAATAGAAAAAATTTTAAAGCCAAGATAATATCTGAATGTAAAGAAGAAGTTAAAAGCAATTTGTATTGAACTTACATATTTTGGCATGCCGATGCTGGGGCTGGAACCTAGTGACACTGCTCAGTCTTCATATAAACATATCCAGGATAGCATGGACAAGTCTAAGCAATGCACAAGTGAAATAGTGGCCGTACGAATGTTAACAGGTGCTTGGCAAGGTTAAGGTTAACTGTAGTCAGAGATGAATCTTTTCTCGGTTGCCACAGTAGTTATAAAGCATTCCTGAAAATTTCAATATGCATGGAAATTGTGCCAACTCTGTGCATTCTATATAAATGTGGAATGGAGTCAGGGTTTAAATTTAATACTTGAAATATATTTTCTGTTGACATAATGTCTGTGGACACCTGGTGGTCAGGAAGGACAGAGTCAAGTCTTCATTAATAGAATTGCCTTGCATTGTTCCAGATTGCAGCAACCATAACCTTCAACACTCTCTAAATGTGTCAGGACCACTTCTAAATAGTTTCTGGAATGTTCTCCCAGGGGCCCACTGTGCTGAGAACCACTGCCTTCTCTGCTTGACTAGGTAGTAGTGATTACAGCATTTGTGTGGACATGGAGCCTGACATAGCCCATGTCCTAATAGGTGAATAGTAGTTGTAGGTCATAGAAGTTAGTTATCTAGGATGCACTGTTTAAGGGCCATGTATAGAAGTGGCAGTTGACATCAGGATAATGTGCATCATGTACATGGGGGGTAACTACTGAAGGTACAAAAGAATTTCGGGGGGTGATAGAAATGATCTATAAACCTATGCAATATCCTGGTGCATACAGTTATTCCAGCTTGTAGAAGTGTACACCTAAGGCTTATATGTTTCACTCTGTGTGTATTTTTCCTCAACAAAAAATTATGCAAGGGAAAATGATATGAAAAATCTTTTGGAGAGTGCTGTCCTCTGGGACTGCCTGTGGATCCTCATTTGAGAATCAAAGCTGTTCTGACCTCATTGGAAGGGTCTGATCTGGTCTTGATTGTTTTTCCTGTGACAGTAACCACACTTCTCTGTGCTTTCTTTCCCCTTTTCCTTAATCCTATGTGCCTTGGTTGAAACCAGCCATCTTATAGCTTTGAGCCTTTCTATAGCTGAGTATTTAATTTCTCTGTAGCTCGTGAAAACTCTGTGACATTTTTTTTTACTTCATCTTCATCTTGATGCATCATTTGTGATTGTAAATAAAAGTTCCTTTGTCTGGTTTGTATGGGTAAATAAGCCAAATTAACCAACCTACTAGGAGCTGGGCTTTGGATTCATCTGACTGAAAATTTCAGGTGTTGGTGTCCTTTGGACTTTCCAAGAAGTGGGTTTCTTTTGCTCCTTTTTGTGTGTGAGGTTTTGCTTGCTCGTAGTTTTGTAAAGCCATTTGTTTGGTGGTAACCATGTTCAGAATGTCTGAGTGGCGCTGTGTGTTACTAATCTCTGCAGAGTGGAAACAGTTTGGAGCATGCCGTGGTGTTCCCAGGCACCTCTGTGGTCATCCTCGCTGTCTCCTTCCTCAGGTTCTTTGGGTCACCCTGGATGGGTGGACTCGTTGGAAGTTAAGGTTAGGTACTTTTCTTGCTGTAAGAGTGTGAGTTTGTGAGTCCTGCTGTTTCCATTTCTCATGATTGGGACTTACAAGGATGATATTTTCTAAAGATAGCACCGCTCAGACATTAGCATTAGCACGCAAAGACTGGGCTTGAATGTCCAGTCTAGCAAAGTGAATTCCCAACCTAGCAAACCCATCACTTTGAAGTAGCTTATCTTTCACGATATTTCTCTGTTTGCTTCTAATTTTTCTTTAGAGAAATTGTAGAGATTTTTTTCCCACTTAATCATATGTCCCTGTTTGTTCTGGCATAAAATAGTAACTCCCCCTAAACTTCTTTGGGTAGAGCAGATGCTCCAATGGAGTTGACTTGGGGTCCCTTGCCTGTCTATAGAGTCTCCTTCAGAATGTGTCCATGCTGATTTAAGAAGCAAGGGCTTCTATATTCAAATATAGAATTCTAAAGCATTTTCTATAATCCTATGGTTTTGTGGCTTTCAAAGTTCCTTTTAGCCTTATCTCTTAGACTGTCCTTTTGATCTTAAGATTGGGAACTATTTAATAGCTGTATGAATCCTTGTAACAAAGGGACAGTAGGAACGTGATTGTTATGAACTTAGTCTTAATACCAGGTCCTGTTCCTCACGTTTCTTCTGCCTTTCAACAGAGCATGTAGGCTGTGATGTTTTCCAAGCTGAAGAACATGTTTAAACTCTTGTATTTTCCCTAGTACTCATCCATATTTCTCAGTTTTGACCAAGTTAGCTGGAATTTAATTGTCTAACTACTTTTCCATGACCTTAAACCTACTCCCATATGCCTATGGGTTAATGTTTGGGGTGAGGGGTTCTATTAATAGCTGCTGTAAATATATTTATGAGATATTGCATTGGCTGACAAATGGTATGCTGAATGAGGTGGAAATGTGGAATGTGTGTGTTGTGGTTTGAATGTATTCTCCAAAGCTCAGAGGTTGGAAACTTAATCTCTAATGCAACAGTGTCGGGGAAGGACCCTAGTGGGAGACAATTAGGTCACAAGGACCCTGTTCTCATGAGCAGATTAATGTCATTATTTGGAAAGTGAGTTCATTATTGCAGGAATGGGGTTGTTATAAAAGTGAGTTCAGGGCCGGGCATCGTGGCGCACGCCTTTAATCCCAGCACTCAGGAGGCAGAGGCAGGCGGATCTCTGTGAGTTCAAGGCCACCCTGGTCTACATAGTGAGTTCCAGGACAGCTGGGGCTACAGGGAGACCCTGTCTCAAAAAGACCAAAAAAAAAAAAGTGAGTTCAGCCCCCTCTTGCTTGGTTGTTCTTGCCCTTTCTTGCCCCTCCGTTTTCCACATTTAACCATGGATGTTACAGCACAAAGACCCTCCCTGACTCTAGCACCATGCTCTTGGACTTTCCGGCTTCCAAAACTGTGAGCTAAATAAATATGTGTTCATTACAAATTTCTTAGCTTCAGGTATTTTGTCACAACAGTGAAACATGGACTACGATTAAGATTTCCTTTATGAATTTTAGATTTGAGGTCTGGTCCATTGGGTTCTGGGGAGGAGACTCACTCCCGGCACTCCTTGCTGCCTACTCTCTCTTCTTGGGTTTCTACTGAGAAACAGAACAGCTTTCTTAGAACTTCCCCTAGAATTTCCCAAAGCCCAGTGCTTTCTACAGACCTGCAGGTCAGGAGTCATGTCCCTCAGCATGACAACTGTCTATAAGGCCAAAAGAATGTGCCAAGGGGGAACATGACCACTGATCCCCCTTCTTGGCCATGCTTCAGTGCTGGGGACCCTGGAATTCCCTCTCCAAAATGCCCAGGCTCAAACACCAAGGCTACAAAAGGCATCAGGGGTAGCCTTGGAGGACTCTACTGGGGGACATTAAAAGGCCCACTAGCCTTGGTCTCACTAGCTTTTTATAGACGCAAGGAAATGACTCAGGCATAAGGAAAAAAAAAAAAAAAAAAAAAAAAGACCGACATAAGGGGAAAAAAAACGTGCTAGCAGAAAGTGCAGAAATAAGTAATGACTAGTGAGATCCCTGTAGGACATAACAACAATGTGAGCATAGCCAGTGTTTTGGAAGTTATTTAAATTACGTACTGTGGGTTGCAGGCATATGATTGTGTTTTGTATAAGGAAGAATATAAAATAAAGCAAATGTACCTGTTCTTAAAAGAGGCCTTTTCTTGGCAAAGCCTGGGCCCTGTTTGCCATCAGCACCAAGTCAGTCATCTCCAGATGGAGTTTGCTTCTTTCTGCAACCTGGTAGAATGCATGATTCATGCCTTTAATCATCTGCTTCTCAAACTCTGTGTTCCCCTCTCATAAACTTGTTTTCCGAAAAGCATTCTGCCCTAAAGGACTGTGGGACATAGACTTTGGCTCATATTCAGGAGCATGTAAAAACTTTAGGCCCACTCTTGGGGTCCTGGTGGTCGTTGGGTGCCTTTCAGCCTCCTCATTCAAATTTTACACCTGTGCTCTTTCGTCTCCAGGAAGACAAAACCCCTAAAGATGGTGACTCCCTTCTGAGAAGCAGGACCACTTCATATAGGAAAAGGCCTTCTCCTCTGAGGTAACTGACTGACTGGGTCACTCCAGTGTTCCTTAGTCTTTTCTAATAAATAGTTGAAGCCTTCCATCCTTAGCTCCAGGTGGCCTTGGGACAACTCCGCTATATGTAAATACAATTGTTGGTGTGTCTTTCTTTGGGGACAGTTGTGTGTTTCTATCATATTTGTTATTTTTATTTTTTAATTGATGCACAGTATTTGTACAATGTAGTGAGATGCTGCCATTTGTGTAACGTGGCTGGAACTGGAGGACATGATGTTCAGTGAAATAAGACAAGTGCCACATGTGTATGTGGAAGCTCAAACGGTTGATTCTAGAGAAGAAAAGAGCAAGACAGTGGATGTCAGAGGCTGGGAAGGGAGTGGGAGCTAGAGATAGGTACTATCAGATTTTTGAAGAAGTCTGCCATCCTACTGAGGGTCACTGCTGGCCCTCTTTCCCAGGGCATCTGACAGACCCTGCACCTGTAACAGAAGTGAGTTCCCAGTATTGGGAACAGAGCCCTCCTAGCACATGGCAGACCTTGTCTCTTTCCCCTCATATTCAAATTCTTAATTTCTGTTGGAAATAACACTGCTGGCCTCCTCCTAGAGGTCTCCAGCTTGGTGGTGCTGCAGGGAGCATAGTCCAGTCATCTCAGAGCTGTCTGTATCTCAACCTAACTCAGGTATAAACCCGCTTGGCCCTACTCCAGGGAATCTGGCCATCAGCCACCCTTCCTCCCCTCTGCCGCTGTTTGTCCCTCCTCCTTGCCCATCCTGTGTCCTTTTCCTCTGGGCCTCCGAGAAACCTGTTTTCGCCTGCATGCCATAAGCACTGTCAGCCTCTATTGGCATCTGTCTTTGGTTTATGTTCCAAAATGGAGATATTGCTTGACATTCTCCTTCCCTCCTCCAGGCCAGTTAGGGCCCTGCCTTCCCTCAGCCTGGTGCTAGGAGTCTCCAGGGGCACGTGACCTGGTGGTAGGACTGTGGGTGAGCCTATCTTTCTCTGCAGCCACTGAGTTCTTTGAACCAGGCTCTGGGTCATTATTCTTGTTTCTATTCCCAGGACCAAGTGTGAACATTAATTTCAACATATAGTTGTTCAATATATAGCGGGGCGTTGAGTGAAAGAGAAAGGGATGGTGGTTGAAAGCATTTCACCCAAACTGGCCACTGGAGCTTGGCTTTTTGTGATAGCTAACAGTGTTGCTGGTGTTGTGTTGTCAGCTCTGTTTTGTTGCATGGGGGAACTGAGGCATGGAAGCATGGCTTCTATCCAATATGCCATCGGTGTGGGAACTTGATTCACGTAACCTTTCAACTGCTGGCTTACAATGTTTAGGCCAGCTCAAATCTACCTTGAATTGTCTGTTATTTCGTGATATTAAGGGAACTGTTGGGGAGGGGGCGGTATTTTTGTTGTTGCTGTTTGCTTGTTTGATTTTTGTTTTGTTTTGTCTTGTTCTGCTGTTTGTTTTAGAGACACAGCTTCTCTGTGTAGTCCAGGTTGATCTCAAACTCACAGTCTTCCTGCCCTGGTGTATGCTACCATGCCCAGCATTTGTTGGTTTTTCTGGGAGCACATTTGATGATGTCTTAAGTGCTGCCACCATCTTTGATGTCCTCAGTCCCTGAATGCCCATCCCACATCCCTGTGGACCCTTTGCTCCAGGGTCCTGGTGACAGACATGGACTCAGAACAGCTGCTGAGAGCTAAGGCTATACCATCATCCTGCCTTTAGTTTCTTCTCCAGAGCAGAGTTGGGGGAGAGGGAAAACTTGTCCTTCCTCTTCCCCCACTGTTTAGTAATCTATTAGGACAGGAAATGTTTTTTGATCAATGACCATGGGCTTGAAGTGGTTAAGGATTATTCATCTACCTTTAACCTGAAATTCTACTTGAGAGCCATGCACTATAAAAGTCAGCCTGGCATCTTTCTCTTCTGCCTAATAAATCAAACAAGCCCGATCTTGTACCTAAGTAAACTGACAGCCAGTAGTGTTCACATAATTTATTTCAAAACACACTTGGTGCTAACACAAGTGAGTGGTGGCCAGGAGCTGGTATGTTTACCCTTTCTTTTCCTCCTTTCTATCATAAGGACTTGAAACACATTTCCAGGGACTCACAGAAGGAGGGAAGAAGACAGTCCGGATGGTTTTAATGCCTTCTATCTCATTTTGAAATCTGAATATAGTTTAAAGTAAATATAGTCATTGTACTAATGACCTACATTGTGGGAGGTGACCAATTTACATGGGGTAAAGTGTCAGATTTACAGGATATTTAAGGAATGCAGTTATACCACTATAGGGTAGGTTGCAAGGCTTAAAGAGGCTGAATAATCACCTTCCTGTTGGTGGACTACAGTGACAAGAATTAATGGGTGTGTCTCGCATGGTCAGAAAACCTTTTTCCCTCAGTATTTGTTTAAAGAGCATGTAGTAACATCTTTATACCTTCTGATACAGTTTCTCAAGTAGAACATTTTCCAGCTATTTTTCAAACCCTTCACATCTTTAGTCTGAAGTAGTTTCATCTTAGTTAAAATATTTTGTGTTTCATATTTACTGATAGCTACAGATAAGATTATAGGCAAATTTAATTTCCTATAAAAATTAAAAAGTAAGTTTTAACATTTTTATCTTCTATTTTTATTTGCATATATAAGGGTGTATGCAATTCCCATGGAGCCAGAAGAGGGAGTGGTATCCCCTGGAACTGGAGTTAAAGATGGTTGATAGCTGCCATGTGGGTGCTGGGAACGGAAGTCATGTCCTCTGTCCTCTACAAGAGCAGCCGGTGCTTTTAACTGTTGAGCCATTGCCAGCCCTCAAAGGCAGACATGGACGGCCATTGCCTAGTGTTGAGTTGAGGATATGGCTGTTTATTTTGTCTTTCATTCATTTTTCATTCTTTCTGTGAGACTTTTTTAAAGACTTCTGGGTTTTATGCACAACATTAGATGCTTTGGGGGCAGAAGTGAGCAGGCTTTGAGTCTGCCCTCAGGAGGCTTCCCACTTCCAGCTAATAGAAAAATGCTCTTGGTGCATAGCAGGCATACAGGTTGCTGGGGAGGCTCAGATGATGAAGTCTCTAGGGAGCTGAAATGTAATGGAGTCGGCAGGAGCCAGGTAAAGTAGTGAAGGGCAAGGCTAAGTGGCTGGGGCACATGGCCAGGTGAAGGTTGTTCTGGAATGAGCTGAGGGAGGGAAGGGTAGTCAGTAGAGAGCCAGCACAGGGTAGCTCTATGCTGGACTCCTCTGTGTGTACCAAGAGAAAAGAAGAATGTTGAACAGTTCATTTGGTGACTGACAATTTCTCACCTCTCTGGGTTGATTTGATTGGAAGTCGTAAATGCACAGGCTAGGAGACAAATAAGGAGCCCATTGCTGTAATGAATCCAAGTAGGGGCTGTAGATGACTTGGGTTAAGGCAGCACCAACAGGGGCCATGAATAAACTGTGTGGGGCTGGTGAGTAAGGAGACAGACTGTTAGGGTCTGGAGAGGAGGCGCTGGGATGGGAACTGCCCCAGGATCATAGATCCTAGGTTTCTTTTAGGTGCATGCTTAGTAGGTTCAGAGGGTTGTGTCTTCACCAGACTGTGAATTTCCAGGGCAAGAATAGTTGTTATATTTTTGAGATTGATGTACTCATGGGTCCTCAGTGGATCTGTGCAGAAGCCAGCTGGAGATGAGACTGGAACTTACTGCATGTCACGAAAGGGTGTCTGCTCAGGAGCGGGCAACAGGAATATTGAGAAAAAGATGCTTAAACAGATGTGTTCTTCACTCGCACTTGAGGTTTAGGAAGATAGGCCAAGTTGAGGTTTGTTTTTCTTGCTCATATTCACTTGCTATTCTTTTAGTGACCTCATTTTGTCCATGAAGTGATAGGCATGCTATTCTGGGCTTGCTGCTTTAAGGCAGGTACCTGATCTTGTTGAACCTCCTGTATTATATATGGACAAAGTTCTATGTAACTAAAACAGACTAAAATAGGTTATGAGATTAGTTTATCAACAGATGAACAGGTAAAGAGAATGAATGGAGCTTTATTTAGTCATAAAGGAGAACAGAATTATGTGATCTGTCAGAAAATGGGTGGAACTGGAGATCATTATATTTTCAAAACCAGCCAGACTCAGAAAGGCAAACGTCTCCTTTTATTTCATATGTGGAACCTAGAAAAGACTTCATGAAAGGAGACAGGGATGATTTGGGAAGGACTGGGAGGAAGACAGACAAAGGTAATAAAGGCAGAATATGGTCAAAGTATATCATATACTTGAATGAAAATGTCATTATGAAACTTTCCACTTTTAAAATGAATATATGGTGATAAAAAATTTAAAAGAATAGTGGGTCATCAGGACCTCAGTTTAATATGCAGCGCAAGTGGCTGCCGTCTGTTGTAGCAAAGGCTGTGCTGATGTGGCCTTCAAAGCCATGCAGAGAGGCCCCAACATTTTTTTCTCTTTTTCCTTTGTGAAGGATTCATACATGCTTAACACAGACCTTTTGGAAAATCTAAAAAAAAAAAAAAAAAAAAACCCCCAAAACCACCCTCTTCTAGCCTCCATGGGCACTGCATGACATGGATGCCCTTACATATATGCAGGCAGTACATTCATACACATACAAATACTAAAAACAACAAACAGACATGTTGTAGTGTCTCACACCTGTGATCTCAGCACTTGAAAGGTATAGACAGCAGGAGGATCAGGAATTCAAGGTCAAGGATCAACAAAACCCAACTTTAATATATATTGATGTGATTTCTTTTAGTCTCTGTGGGGAACATTTCTATGTAACTACTCCATTGTACAAGCAATTTAATATTGGATTTTTACATGAAGGCATGACTTTAGAATTGACCTAGAAGTGTGAGAAGACTTTTGCAAGCAACTCTTGGCAGCAGGGTACATTCTAGGTGGTAACAAATCCACACAACCAGAGGCAAGCCGGTTGAATACACTTGTCCCTAGAATCCCCACAGGTGCTCAAGCCCCTTCTAAAAAATGGCGCAGCATTTCCTACAACCTACACACATCTGCCCATATGCTTTAGATCATCTCTAGAATACTTAGAATACCTAATAAAATGTCAATGTCGTGTAAACATTGTTATATGATGTTGTTTAGGACAGCAGGCAAAATGCCCACTCAGTTTCAGTACAGATGCAAGCTTTTTTCAAATATTTTATTTTTGTTTTTATTTTATGTGTATGAAAGTATTGCTTGCTTGTATGTAAGTGCACCTGTGTCCTGCAATGCCCCTGGAGCTCAAAAGAGGGTGTTAGATTCCCCCGGAACTGGAGTTACAGACAGTTGTTAGCCACCGTGTGGGTGCTAGGAATTGAATCCCAGTCCTCTGCAAGAGTACTCTTAACCGCTGAGCCATCTCTCCAGTCCCTTTTTCAAATATTTTAGAATGCATTTGTTTGAATCTATAGATATGGCATCTGTGAGCATAGAGAGCTGGTTGTGGTGTACTTTGGATGTAGACTATATTCTGAGGGGAATAAAGTGGGAAAAAAGACTAGAAATAAATATTGGGAGAGATGATGGAAATACTGTAAATCTTAAGCTGTCAAAATTGTTCCCAATTGTGCTTACCCCTATCCTTTTCTAACGCAAAGCTGGACATGACTATGTGAACCGTGTGACCAGGAGGTGAGTGTAGGGACAGGTAAGGGTTGAGAAGTTTAAAGATTTGCTGGGATGATAACACTGCCTTTCTTCCTTTCTTCCATTTCTCCAGGAGACTATGAGAGTGCTACTCGGGCTTGTTTGTTTCATTGCTCCACTGATTTCATCGGCAGCTGGTAAGCTGGAAGCTTCCTGTGTTTTAGTTGGCTAAGGTAGTGGTGATGGAGAACACATGCATACCTTTCTTTCCATTTTCTGTTACTCCGAGGGCACAGAGCCCCCTGGTCCCAGAACAGTCCATCTGACAGTCCTTTCCAGCATCTTCACTTCTCATGCTATACCTGGTGGGCTAGGAAACGGAGGCCAGTGAAGTTAAGAGCCCAGGGTCATGTTAGCTTTGGAGCGAGATCTCTAGATTCGGTCCCTGGTGCGCAGTTTGGACCACCTCCCACTTCATTGCTGATGGGACTGTGGAAGGGAAATCCTGCTTTCCTGGAGGAGGCATTCTGCAGCTTTCATGGACCATAACTAGTTGGTTTCTCTTTGAATTTTTTTCATTTTCTCTTTCCCTTCTCCATTTCTTTCCAGAATGTAGTGTATTGTAATGTGTCAGCTATGAGGTGATGAAAACAGCAGTGATAATCCACGTGGAAGCAGTGTTTGCAGGAAACTGCATTCCCAGGGTGGGAGACAGACTACGTTACATAAGTAAATATGTATTGTGTTCTTTGGTGATAGGTGTAGAGAGGAAACATGAGCAAAATGTAGTATTTGGGGTATTCAAGTGAACAGGCAGTTAAATTTGTAATGCTTATGGGCTGGCCATAAAAATGTCTCACAGAGAAGTTGATTTTTGAGTTGAACCTAAGGGAGGGGAAGGAGGGGGTTTGATAGATACCAAGCTAGGGGAGTAAGGTATCTAGGGCAGCATTTGCAAAAGCCTGGGGCTGAAAATGTCTAGCATATTCTAGGACCTAGTTACCTAGCATAGTGACAGATGAAGGAGGCTACAGAGACAAGGTTACTTGGTTAATGGAGATATGGTGGAGGGATTGTGGAAAACCTTGAAGGCTTTTTTGAAGAATTTTGACTTGGGGTGACTTGAGTTCTTGGTTCAGAACAAGAGAGATGGGGGCAGTCACAGGAGGTTGGGATGGATGGGGTGGTGATGGTTCTGTGGGTAAGAGTGCTTGTTCCATAAGTATGATGACCTGAGTTCAAATGCCTAGCACCCTTGTAAAAGGTTGGATATGATCATGCATGAGCCTATAATCCCAGTGCTGAGGGGTGCAGAGGTAGGAGGATTGCTGACACTTGCTGGCCATCAGCCTAGCTCCAGGTTCAATGAGAGACTTTACCTTATTGGCAATAAGAGAGTAATAGAGCAGGACACCTGACAGCTTCTTTTGGCCTCCTCGAAAGCATACTTGTGTATGCACCACACACACACACACACAGCAAAAACAAAACAAAACCCAGAGAAGTGATCTGACTTCTATTTCAACTGACTCATTTTGCTTCCTGTTTTGGAGAATAGAGTCTCAGGAGACAAAGGCAGGGAGAGATAACAGTTCAGAGGTCAATGACAGTGTGTTCTGGACAGGAAGGGATGATGACTTGATCAAAAATGGGAAGAGGAGAGAAGCAGCCAGGATTGAGGTGTATTCTGAGGCTGGAGGTAGCCGGGTTTAGAGAGGGAGCAGTTTAGTACAAGGCAAAGTGGATTGGAGATGAGGCGGAGGCTTTGGCTTGAGCAAAATGCCATTGGTGGGCAGACGGAATGGTCAGATGTTCGCTGTCCATACTCTAAAAGTTGTCCTTTGGGTGTCTAAATGGTGACACTGACAAGGTTTTGTGGAGCCAGAGAGATTGTCTAAGGTCAAAATATAAAATTAGAGACTTCACAAACAGCTAGTAAGAGGGCTGAGAGACTGAATGAGGTCACGGAGCATAGTGAGGAACAGCAACGTAAGAAGTGAGCCCTGAGTCCCTTCAGGGTGATGATGGTCAGAGAACCAGTAAGAAACTGACTTGAAATTTGGAGATCCAAGTGACGCAAGTGTCTTCTGGTGAGAGAATATAATAGGAACACGTCAAACGTAGGTATGCCAAGTGAGATGATGTTGCTGTTATTTGATTTAACAACTTTGAAGGTGTTCTTTTGGAGGAATGGGAAAAACCTCAGATACACAGAAGAGAGGCTAGCTGGGGACCTCCATCGCTGCTGTTCCTCGTAGCTCTGTACATTTTGGAGTCCTCACTTAGCAGGTCCCATTCTGAGCTCCTACACACTCCTAGTTCAGTCTGTTTTATTGAACACCTTTATTGAGGTTAACTGACATACAGTGAACTACAGATATTGAAGTGTATAATTGTATATCGACAGACATATATATCCCTGAAACCATGAGAATCAACATAAGTGCATCTATCACTCTCTTGTTCCTTCTTCATGCTCGTAATTCCCTCACTCCACTCCTCACCGCCTCGTCTCCAGGCAATCACTGGCCTGTTTCCTGTCACAGTAGATTGACTTGTGTTCTCTAAAATGTTAAATAAATAAATTTAGTAGTGTGTGTTCTTTCTGCGGGACAGGTAGATCTGATTTCTTTCACTCGGGTTATTGTTGAGATTCATTCTTGTTGCACATATTGCATTACCTGGCAGTAGTCTGTTGTATGGCCATACAGCGATTTGTTGATCCATCAACATATTGATGGACATTTTGACCATTTCTAGAAAAGGAAAGGTGCTCTCAACACTGGCAACCAAGTCTTTGTTTGGACTTAGGATTTCATTTCTCTTGGATGAACACTTAGAAATTGAATGATTATTTGGGAGAAGTATATTTAACTTTTTAAGAAAGTACAGTCTCCTGAAATTATACCATATTACATTGTCCCCAGAAATGTATGAGTTCCTGGTCTTCTACATCTTTTATTTTCTTTACTTTTTAAATATATTTTATTTATTATTTTTATTTTATGTGTATGAGTGTATTGCCTGTATGTATGTGAGTGCACCCCTGGCGTGCAATGCTGTGGCGGTCAGAAGAGGGCTTCGGATTCCCCTGGAACTGGAGTTAAGGACGGTTCATAGCAGCCATGTGGGTGCTGGGAATCAAACCTGGGTCCTCTGCAAGAGCAGTCAGTGCTCTTAACCGCTGAGCCAGCTCTTCAGTCCCTGTTTCCTTCACTTTAATCCTAGTAAATGTGCAACACTATTGGAAATAGTGGGCACCTTTCATGGGCTTGTTTTCTGTTTCTATATCCCCTTTGGTGAAATTTCTAAATCTTTTGCTCATTTTAAAAAACATTTATTTATTTATTTATTTATTTATTTATTTATTTATTTATTTATTTTATGTATGTAAGTGTTTTGTATGCATGTATGTAAGTGCATTGTGCATGCAATGCCTGCAGAGGGCAGAAGAATGCTTTGGATCCCCTGGAACTGGAGTTAAGGATGGTTGTTAGCCACTATGTGGGTGCTGGGAATTGAATCAGCCAGTACTGTTAACAACTGAGACATCTCTCCAGCCCCCTTTTGCTCTTCTTTAATTAGTATGCTTTCTTATTTTTCTGTTTTGAGAATTCTTTATACATTCTGAATATAGGCTCCTTATCATATTTGTGGCTGGCAAAGGTTTGCCTCTGAACTGGTTTGCCTTTCCATTTGCTTATGATATCTTTCAAGTCATAGAATTTTTAAATTGATGAAGTCTAATTTTATTATTACTAGCATGGATTGTGCTTTTGACATTATTATATCTAAAACGAATCTTTGCCGGATCCTCTGCCACAGTAACTTTTCTTCTGTGCTTTCTTCCGCATACTTAATAGCTTTACATGTAGGTCTGTGACCCTTTGAGCCATTCATTGCCTTATGCATTTTTTTTTAAATGTGGGAAAAAGTGAAGTTAAAAGCTAAAGCTACCTGTGTACTTTAAAAAGTTACCTATTTAGAAATTACTTGTCAGTTATGGATAGTTTCATGTTGCCTAAGTTGTTTACTTTGCTGGCATTCCATATTTCTTTGTGTGGATAGGAGTTGCTGCCTAGGCTGAATGACATTGCCCTTGCCAGCATTTATTTTGTAGAGCAGGCATGTTTGTGATGAGATGCCCTCATTTTGGTTCATCTATGAATGTCTTCATTTCTCCTTCATCTCTGAAGTATAGTTTCTTGGCTGGTAGTCTTCGTCACCCAGCATGTTCAAGTCACCACACTCCTCCTGGCCCCCATGGATTCAGAGAAACAATTGCCACACTTACTGAAGAGCTTTTGTGTATAATGAATTTTTTTTATTGCTTCCTGTTTTTAACCTTCTTTTTCTTTCTACAATTTGACTATTAAGTAGTGAGTTGATATCCCTTTTAGTTGATCATATTTATCATTTTTAAGTTTATTGGCTATAGAGATTAATGGTTTGGTGGGGATATTTGGACATTATTTCTTCAAATATTTTTCCTGACCCTTTCTTCTTCCTGGGATTCTCATTACACGTGTGTTAGCATGTATATGGTGGTTACATCTGTGTTAGCTCCCTGAAGCACCATAGAGACTCAGTTGACTTATCATCAAGTTCATCAGGTCTTCCTTCTGCCAACTCCTGCCTGCTGTTGAGCTCCTTTAGTGAAATAGTCTTCATCTTAGTTACGGATTTTTCTGCTCCAGAGTTTCAACATTCTTTCTCTTTGATGATTTCTGGGGGTATTCTTTTATAAATTGATATACTCTGCATGGTAAGACATTGCTATCATATTTTTCTTTAATTCTTTAGAAATAGTTTTTCAGTAGTTAGTTTGGATATTTTTTTGTTACCCTAAAATCTTTATGCAGTAAGTGTAATATACTTCTCTGAAACTATTTCTGTTAGCAACTTTGTTCACCCTGTGTATGGATCATACCTCCCTGTTTCTTTTGTAGTGTTCTATTGAAAACTGGACATTTTTTATGTTATAGAGTTAAATTCTGGAAATCAGATGTCTACCTGGATGCACCGTTTGTTGTTATTACTGGTTTGAAAAAAGATTTATTTTTATTTATATGTTTATGCATCTATATATGTGTGCATGCACACAAGTGTGTGTGAGTGCCAAGAGGACAGAAGAAGATGTCAGATCCCTTGGAGCTGGAGTTCTAGGCATTTGTGAGTGCTCAGTGTGGACACTGGGATCTGAATTCTTGTCCTCTGGTAGAGCAGTAAGCACACTTAACTACTTATGTCTCCAGTCTGTTATCACCAATTTATACATTTTTATAATTGTTGTTGCTGCTGCTTCTGTTCATCTTCTTAATGGCTTTCCTTCTTAGAGCTTGTAGTGTGTGGCCCCTGAAGTCATTGATAAATTTAGTGATGAGTTAAGGATTGGCTAGAGGTTTCCTTTAGTTCTGTGACTCAGAATATGTTCTACTCTTCGCTGACAGGCTTTGTGTCTGGCCCTTCAACACTAAGGTTATTTACAGCTCTGCCTTGGTCTTTACTTCCTGCCTGTGTATGACCTCAGAGTTATTCAGATGGGAGCCAGGTACCTCTTCTGGATGTGTGAACAGCTGTGCACATGTGTTCCTTCTCAGTTCCCCAGGAGAGTGCAAAGATCTCCGAACTCCCTTTAGGGTATAGCTCTTATGTGTTGTAACTGATGTTGCAGCCTTTATTAAATAGTTGCTGCTGTCATATTAAATAGTTGGCACTGACTTTGTTCACCAAATACCCTGGAGAATGCAGGGCCCTTCCTAAGGATCTATGAATCAGGTCAGTATCCTGGGACACTCACTCTGTTCTTGCAAGTCGAAGGTCCTGACAGCTACTGTGGGTGCAAAGTCCTAGTTTTCAGGACTACGGGATCTGCGAAGGGCGTTCGGTAGTTGATTTGAAAGCCTTGATGCTTGCAGTTCCGTTTGGAATCAGTGATTTTCCTCTTCCTCCGTCTCCTCCCACCTCTCCTCTTCCTCCTGTTTTTTTAATGCTTTTCTGAGTGTTGCAAACCCTTGATTAAAAAAAAAAATTCCTTTTTTTTTAACTGCTTCATAGATGAATGATTTATAGACTTCCACTCTGCTATTTTGGAAACGCTGCTTCTTGTTTGGTGAAATGACTGTTTCTTTTCATTTACTTTAGCCAAAATATTATTTGTGTGAGTTACTGTTTTCCATGTTTCTACTCTGTTCCAGTGACATATTTATCTTTATTTCAGTACTATACTGACTTAGTTTGTGTCATTTTATAAGTTTGGGGGATTTTGTGAGTGTGGTGCTAGGAGCTACGAAACCAATTGCTTTGTGCATGTTAGGCAAGCACTCTACTGTAATGTGATTTACTAAAAATTTAGTTTTGAAATGTTTTGCCAGTATATGAAAACACTTAAATTTGAATATTCTCGTTATAGCCTAGAACTGCTAATGTTTGCAGATCTTTTGTAGACTCTCTGTTAATAAGGACAGGACAATTCAGGCTATCTCTTCATTCTTGAGTGAATATTAGCAGGCTGTGTCATTCAAAAATTTCAGCCATTTTATAATATTCACCTTTTGCCCATCCCCCCTCCTTTGGGTTTGTTTTGATTTGAGTTTTTTGAGACAGGGTCTCCCTGTAGCCCCAGCTGGTCTGGAACTCATTATGTAGACCAGACAGGCCTCAGTCTCACAAAGATACACCTGCCTCTGCCTGAGGATTAAAGATGTGTGCCACCAGAACCCCTGCCTTTTGACCCTTAAAACTCTGTTAATGAGAGCTGTCTCTTTTTCCCCCTTTTTGCTCTGACTAGAGATTTATCAGTTTTCTGATTTTATGAAAGAAGTAACTTCTGGTACTCTTTCATATTTTTTTTTCTCAATTTCTTCCTGATATTATTTACTACTGTGGTAGTTTGAATGAAAATGTCCCCCATAGGCTCCAAGTGTTTGGACAGTTTGTCCCCAGATGATGACTCTGTTTGGGGAGGTTTTAGAAGGTGTGGCTCTCCTGGAGGAAGCAGTCGCAGGGGGTGGGCTTAGAGAGTTCTTAAGCCTTGCTGGATCTCCAGTCATTCTGTTGTTTCCTGTGCCTGCTGGAAGAGGTAGAGCTTAGCTTCTGCTGCTCCTCCTCCAGCCACCTCTGCCGCCATGCCCCCTGCCAAGACGGACTGTAATTCCCCTGGAACCATAAGCTCAAATAAACTCTTCCTTTTATAAGTTGTTTTGGTCAGTGTTTCTATCACAGCAACAGAAAAGTGACGAATACAACTATCTTCTTACTTCTACTGCTATATTAGTTAAGTTTTGCATTTTCTGAACCATATGATATTTTAGCATTTCAAGCAGCCTTTCATAGCTGGGAAGGCTGTCACTCCAAGGACAGCATGCTTTCCATGTGAAGACTGCCTGATGCAGACCTGTGTTCCAACACCTCTATCTTACTCAGACATAAAGCCAATATTATTCCTACTATGAATCAGCTCAGGGCACAAGCTCCTGCCACCATAATGCTCTGCCTCACTATGGGCTCAGAAACAACTGAGTTGACCAGGATGGATATAAGCCCCTGAAACCTTAAGCTAAAATAGGTACATCCTTCATTTAAATAGGTTTTTAAAGTATTTCGGTCATAATGAAAAAATGACTAATATGGAAAATAGGTACCAGAGAAGTATGATTGTTACTGTGACAAAACTTGACATGTCTTTGGAGTTGGTTTTTGAGAGGAATGTGGAAGAGTTTAGAGATAAAAGATAGAAAAGCTGCAGAATGCTCTGAGAAGAACTTCATGGGTGATTCTGGTAGGGGCTCAGGAGGCCAGAATGTCAAGAGGAATGTGGGCAGTAAAGACTGTGCTTATAGGATTTCAGATTGGAACAAGGATGTTTATTTTTGAGAATCTAAGCAGAGGCCATTCGTATCATATTCTGACAAGGAACTTGTCTACATTTTGTCTGCCTCTAGAAATTATATATGGATGGAGTTTAAAGGTGAGTGACTTAATCAATTTGATGGAAGAAATTTCAAAACAGTCCAGTATCCAGACTGATTATGTGTGACTGTGTTTTGTATCTAGTTTGATTATGACTGACTGTATTTTACTAGGTATACAGTGGAGATCAGAATAAAGCACAGAGCAGAAAGACCTGGAAAACTTGCATTTTGGTAAGAAAAGCCAGAGTAAAGTTGAAGCTAAGGAAGGTGGTTCCTGATGAGATTGGTGCCTTTTAAAAGAAGGAAAGTATTTTGCAACAGGTAACAGGAAAGTTTCTTTGAGGGCATCTTAGGAATTGACTAGATACCACTGATGCTAGATTCAAGAAGATAAAAGCATAAACTCATTTACCTTTGAGAAGAGAGCACCTTTGGGGCACCCTACTGCCTAAGGAAAATATTTCCATACATTCAGTTATTCAGGTACTAGAGGCCATTACAGCAGTAGTTCAAGGAGTGCCCTTACCATTAAAGCTGGTGACAGACTTTGGTGTCACCCATACAATGCCCTTCTATCTAATTAAAAAATGTAAGTGCATATTGAAGGATTTCACACAGATTGCACAGGAAATCGTGGGAAACCAGGCAGTCAGTGTAACAAGTTTGGAAGCCCTGAAGGCAGTTCTGAGAGGTAGATGTGTAAAGTATAAGCTTCAATGGAGGCTAAGAATTTGGAGATGCTAGAGATGTGGAGCATTCCTCAAGGAAAGTCTCAGGGAACAAATGGAGCCAGCCCAAGAGAGAGACTATGCAGTATTGCAAATTGCAAAGCAGAACAGTGGCACAGCCCAAGCCACATCATGGTACCATATGTCTCAGATGCTGGACCTTAAGCTACAGGATTTAATGTTTTTTGTTTTTTTTTTTCTGATGGGTTTTGGTTTTTCTTCAGTCCCATTCCTCCTTTGTATGCTATCATTTCTTCCTTTTGGAGTAGGAATGCTTATTTTATGGTATTGTGTTTTGGAAATATGCCACCTTCTTCATTATTTTTCAGGAGCTTATAGATACGAGATTGTGTTATGCCTCAGTAGGGACTATGGACTTAGAGCTTTGAATACTGCAAGAACAATTAAGACCTTGAGGACTCTTAGAGATTGACTACAAGCATTTGCTCATGAGCTTTTGTAGGCTTGCAGTGGCCATTGTACATTTAACCAGTTAGGTGCCAGACATTTTTGTATTACTAAAATGTTCTTATGCTGTGTTCTGCTAGAGGATTCTTAATTGGAAATGGTTTTATGCTTTCAGATATTACACTTAAGCTTTATGAGAGTCAGGAAAGGTTATATCCTGAGTCTAATTTTCCCCAGCCACAGGATCGTGGCCTTTCTTGGGTCCTCTACTTGATCTTCTATGATATATGAGGTTTTCTCTGCCAGTTGGCCTCAGCCTCTGACATGCTCCAGGCATCGTTCCCTCTCATCCTTTTGGTAGTTTTAGTCTTGCATGACTTTCTTCCTCTCATCCACTGATTAGTACTTAGCTGAAAGCCTGTCTCCTCTTCCTTCATGTCTTGAACAGTGTTGTTTCAGGTGCTTTGTACACTTATTGTTCAAGTGGTAGGGTAAACCCAGTCCTCACCACTCCCTATTGAACAGACATGAATGACTTTCCTCCTACATTATTCCTACTTATAGATGAACGAAGAGATAGCAAGAGAGAATAAGTAACTTGCCTGAGAGTACAAACTGTTGGTAACATGTGACACAGCTGGAACTGAATGCAAGCATTCCAGACTCTGAACATGGTGCTCTTAATCACACAGCTGTAAATCTTTATATATGGTGTGAGCTGGTATCTTTCATGACTGATGCTTTCAGATGTAGATATTGCATTAGGAGACACTAGAAAATTTTCTTACAGAAATTGTTTCCCCTTTTTCTCTTTTAAAGTTGAATGTGAGGAACAGCCAAATAAAATAATTTTATTTTCATCTGCAAATGAAATTGATATTCGTGATTGTCCCCTCAGTCCAAATGAAAAAAAAGGTACTATACTTTGGTATAAAAATGACAGCAAGACACTTATATCAATGGAACAAGATTCCAGGATTCATCAGCAGAATCAAAATCTTTGGTTTGTTCCTGCTAAGGTGGAGGACTCAGGACATTACTATTGTGTAGTAAGGTAAGAAAGATATCAATTTGACACTACAAGCTTGCATTTAAGTTTCTACAAGAGTTAAGGACAGAAAAATCTTTATAGTAATGTTCAATTTCATTTTTACTTTATTTTAGAAATTCAACTTACTGCCTCAAAACTAAAATAACTGTAAAGGTTTTAGAGAATGATCCAGGCTTGTGTTTTAATACACAAACCACATTTATACAAAGACTACACATTGGAGGAGATGGAAGTCTTGTGTGCCCTTATTTGGATTTTTTTAAAGATGAATATAATGAGTTGCCCAAAGTTCAGTGGTATAAGGTAATTTTATTTTAAGTATGATATTTTACTTTTATGTTTCAAATAAACTAGTTTTTTGTGTGTGTCAAACAGTAAAACATATCCACAAACACTTGTCAGTTTGCATACTGTTTTCTCTTTAGTGGTAAAACTTGATAGAGAAGCTAAAAAATAATTTTAAGACTGCAGTCATTGATTTTAAAGCTTACCTGAAATCTTACTTGTTGTCTTTTCTATTTAACTTAGTAAGATACAGTTTTGAGAAAATAGTAGAAAGTGAACATGTTTGAGAAGACAGATCAGATATTTAAGCCATTTAAGAAGTAATTTTTCATTATATTATTTGTACTTTATTTAAAACTAAGGACTGGGGCTAGTGAGATGGCTCAGCAGTTAAGAGTGCACAGTGCTCTTGTAGAGGACCAGGGAGTTCAGTTCTCAGCACCCACATCAGGTGCCTATAAGCCTGTAACTACAGCTCAAGGGGCTCTGATGGCCTCTGTGCGTACTTCACTCATGTATAAACACACAATTGAAAATAAAAAATACATTTTAAAAAATAATTAAAAGTTGGGAGTGGTGGCACACACCTTTAATACCAACATTTGGAAGGCTGAGGCAGGTGAATCTCTTTGAGACTGAGGCCAGCCTGATCTACATTGTGAATTCCAGCCCAGCTGGGGCTACAGGGAGACCCTGTCTCAAAACATAATAATAATAACTAAAAAACAAGTGCTCCACAAATAGCTTGACAGTTTCTGTAACTATTTGAAAAGTAGGCTGATTAGTATTTAGTGGAACTCAGCATATTTTGCTAACTTTTTTACTTAGTCTGATGGAACTTACATGGGGGGAATCTTTTAAGTTAAGAATACCAAATAAATACTATCAGTGCAGGAAGGAACTGATAGTGATAAACTAAGTAAATTACAGGATTAACATTCTTTCTTCAAACATGTATTCTTGTGAAGTAAGTCTGTTTTTACTTGCCTTCCTTGCAAAAACCTCTGGATTTATAATTTTGGCATTATAGCAGTATGTTAACCCTGGCTCTTCCCAAACAGAAGGAACACAGTAATAAAAAGTTACTATACACAAGTAACACTTTTAGTCATTTTTTTTATTCATGAATTTGCTAATGTGAAAAAGTAAAGTTACTGTTCAGAAGCCACTGATTTTGTTTTTTTTTCAATGCTGCATTTTTCTGCTCAAATCTAGGATTGTAAACCTCTACTTCTCGACAACAGAATCTTCTTTGGAGTCTCAAATAAACTGATTCTGAGGAATGTGGCTGAAGATCACAGAGGGAACTATACCTGCCATGTTTCCTACATATACTCGGGGAAGCACTACCCAGTTACTCGTGTAATAGAATTTATCACACTAGGTGAGTCATGGCTCCAACCCACGGAGTTTGGACCTAGAACAGCCCAGAGATCATTACTGTAAGATAACTTCCATTGTCCCTGTGGGAACTAAATGCAGGAATTTCTCAATGACTCACAAAGAGTATTAGTTCCTTTTCTTTTGCTATAATGGAATACTCTGACAGAAAAGCAAGTTGGGGAAGAAAGGGTTTATTTTGGCTCACAGTTCCAGAGGAGATACAGTCCATCATGATGGAGAAGGAATGGCAGCTCGAGTGTGAGGCCAACTTACTGAGAGTGATCACATTTTATTGACACACAGGAAGCAGAGAAAGAGAACAGGAAATGGGGCAGGGATAGAAAATCTATAGCCTTCACCTAGTAATGAATGTCTTCCAGCAAGGCTCCCCTTCCAAAGATTTCATAATCTTCCCAAACAGCGCTACCAGCTGGGGGCTAAGTAATTAATTGCACGGGCCTGTTGGGGACATTTCATATTCAAATATGTGAATGTTTTTCATGCCTATTTTAGTTGCAGCACTAATTAGACGGAGACCTTATGAGCTATGCTTTCCAATGGGTCTAGGAGGCTTCTTAGATTTGAAGAGAACTCTGTGGCTCCCTCTTCCTGGTATATGTGAACATCTGAGGGTTTCCTCTGAGAGCTTGAGTATCTATCAACAAGAATCATTTGCATTGAGACTGTAGCTTGGTGGTGAATTATTTGCCTGGTATGTGTGAGACTTTGAGTTCAACCTCTAGTGCTGCAATAAATAAACAACAAACCCAAAACAAGAAGAGCAGCATAACCATTGGTGTGAATGGAGTAAACCCCAGTAGGTTTGGGGATATTACACTCCCAGAATCCACTTTCTTTGCATTCTGTGTGAGCTCAATCACTTGAGCCCTCTATGTGTATTTCTTCCTCTGTAAGAAGATGATATGGTGTCCTAAGTCTATTGGGAAGTTTAGAGATGAGGTCTGCTCAGCTTGTGGTCTTATGCCTGATGTAAGGTAGACCTTGGTACATAATGGGTATACACTTAACAAATGTGCAATGATTGTTCTTAGTTTTTCCATGGCTCTCAATTTTGCTGTAGTCATTATCATATTAAAAACTATGTCACAACAAAATGAAACAAAATGTACTTCCACAAATTACCTGGAAATGGATAGAATCTTTAACCTTTCTGTGCATGGTAGCTTCCAGTATTAAGTTAACCTAACCAGGACTTTTTTTGTAAGTTAAAGGATCGTCTGTGAATAATTATGCTAAGACATAGTTGGGACTGTCTCAGACAAATCCAGAATATGATCACCACACATATAGCTATGTTTTCTAATTTTTTAGTAATTTTCCTTTTGTTTTTATTAGTATTCTTATAAATTCTTATTTTACTTTTTCTTATTTTATTGTTTATGTGTTTGAGTGTACTGCCAGCATCTGTATAAGTGCATTTGTGTTGTGCAATGCCAGTGAAGGTCAGAAGACGGCATCAGATCCCCTGGAACTGGAGATACAGATGGCTATTAGCTGCCATGTGGTACTGTGAATCGAACCCTGGTCCTCTGTGAGAGCAGCCCGTATTCTTAACCACTGAGTCATCTCTCTAGCCCCATAATTTTTTTTTTTTTTTTTTTGGTCTTTTTGAGACAGGGTCTCCCTGTAGCCCCAGCTGTCCTGGAACTCACTATGTGGACCAGGCTGGTCTTGAATTCACAGAGATCTGCCTGCCTCTGCCTCCCGAGTGTTGGGATTAAAGGCATGCACCACCACACCTGGCTCATAATTTTTCTTTTTAAGATTAGCTTTTCTGGATATAAATTAATCCCTTACCTTTGTCCTGAAAGCATTGGTTAGTCCTGTTGGCTCAGAAACAGCTCTCATCTTAAAAGTGATAAAGTTTATTCTTGTGTTGAATATGAGTGAGCATGACCCAGTAACACAGATTTAAGTCACCCCCAAATTCTGTGATCCAGTGAAGCAATTTTTATGAAGTTGTTATGGGAACAGAACAAAATTAGAACTCAAGGCACTTTTCAGATACATTGGTGGAAACATTAAGTAGGTGGTTACAGCAAAGCAGAGACATCTCAGCTCAAGGCCTCAGATGCTAGCTGATGACACTCAGCCTTTTGGTTGGTGGAAACTAGGGTTTTGTTAACTGAATAGCATCCAAAAGGTTTTTATCTGCTAGTCACAGCATGTTAGGTCAGACACAAAGATGGGCACGGGGTGGCTTTTTAGGGGCTGTAGCTAGCTCAAATTAAATTATAATTAGGCTCTGGACCTGCAGCATTCCAAACCTTCCACATCACTGACATTCCACTCAGTTGATCAAGCTTGCAAAAGGTTAGATTTGAAGATGTGCGTTTTTTCTAGGTGCTTGCATTCCCAATCCTAACTTTCAGTGGTCCATATTCTGAGTTTTAACAGATATCTTATAGCTCTTGTTTGTGTTTCTTGAGACACAATAATCAAATGACTGGACAGAATTCTAGAGAGAACTGGGTACTGGGGACATTTTAAAATAGAAGTGTGACTTAAATCTTCTGACTTCTTCTCTGAGCTCAATTATAGAAATAATACATGTTACTCAGGAATCAGAGAATGCTTATTTTTTTCCTCAAGCCTATCTCAGTATGCTTAGTGATTTTTTTGTTCGTTCCTGAATCCCAAAGTATTTATTGAGCATATACTATTCTAACTATAGTGTAGGAAATGGAGAAAGCCACCTCTTATCCTCTGGATGTCTGTTTATGAACTTGCCTGCCATGGAGTTCTTAGCTTATAACTCTATTCACTGCTCATTGTTTCATTTGGGCCACAGATAAACCCTTGAAACTTACCTTGCAAAGAAGCATCAGGTTGATTTCTGGGCATGGTTGCAGTTTTCAGCCTATTTAATATATGATGCCATATTGCTTGGCATTCAAGAGCTGCTAGGTCATTACCACAGTTGTTTAGCATAGCAGGTCTGACACTGACTACTTCTCCTTCAGGAGGGACCTCTCTACAGCTACTGCTTTTCTTGACTACAGTGAGAAGGTGCCCTCTGACCTCAGGGTCCTGTCCACATGTATGTTTTGCAGCTCCACACTCCTGGGTTTGGATGGTTTGGCCTGACTGCCAATGTTCAGTTTTCTGGTTTCTGTTGGCTTTCTCCTGGTCCTCTTATCCCCAACTCTTGTTGCATATCCTTCAGGCACTTGAGGGACCATCTGGACAGATGCCATTTGCTGTTGGCAGAGTGCTGATATCCCTTGTGGTTTTCTTGGGGAGAGACTCAGGAGCTCTGTACATTTTCTTCTTGCAGATGAAATTAAGCCAGATAGACCTGTGATTGTGAGCCCAGCAAATGAGACAGTGGAAGTGGAACCAGGTAAGAGGGCTATAAGAAGGTGTGCCAAAATCATTATTTTGAATCCAAGACTAAGATAACATGAACCTTTATCATGCATCCAACATAAGCCAGTTACTTAATATGTCTATAAAAGGACAGTGGCACAATTTACATCTTTCTTTATATATATATATTTCTTTA